TCGAATATATTATTATCCATGCTATCGGTATTTAACACTATACTATTGGCTCTTAAAAAAGGTTTTAATATGATTTCTGATAGCATCTTCTGCCGTCAGAGTTAAAAATCTATATGAAATACGGGCCAGGCCAGGCTTGGGCCGAATTTAAAATAAAGCCCAGCCCGGTTTGCTTAGCGGGCTTTTTTGTCAGGCTTGAGCTCAATTTATAATAAGGCCCAGTCCAGTTTGTTTAACAGGCTTTTTGTCGGGCTCGGGCTTGAATCGGGTCTAAAAAAATTTTTCGGGCTATGTTTTGGGTCTTAGAAAGCCCGACCCGACCCAGCCCTTTTCGCATCCTACTCCCAAGGCATAATCTAAAGCATCTGTTTTCAAAAAGTAAGGTTGGTTTGGGTTAGCCTAAATCAGTATTGGTGCTAATATGAATACATTTTTTAGTGTAGTGAAAGCTTGTTGAGCTTTTAAGGACCAATGAAACTCGTCCAAGCTCTTGGATTTCCGAGTTAGATTTGTTATGAGGGTAACCACTTTTGCATAATTTTTGATGAAGTGCTGGTAGTAATTGGCGAATCCTAAAAACCTCTGTATTTCTTTTACAGAAGTAGGAACAGGCTAAGAAAGAAGGCTTTTGACTTTACTTGAGTCTATTTGGATCCTCTTATGAGTAATATAATACTCTAGAAAATCTATACTTTTTTTTTAAATTCACACTTTTCTAGTTTTGCATATAGGCCCTGCTGTTGTAGACGTTCTAGTACTAAGTGTACGTGCTGCCAGTGTGCTTCTAGGTTTGGTGAGTATATCAAGACATCATCCAAATAAATGACTACAAATTAATTCAGAAAATCTCGAAAAATATCATTTATCAAGTGCTGAAACATAGCTAACGCATTAGTGAGCCCAAAAGGTATTACTAGGTATTCAAAATGCCTGTACTGAGTATGAAATGCTGTTTTCCACTCATCACTGAGCTTAATTCAGACCAAATTATAAACACCTCTTAAGTTAAGAACTTGGCATCAGTGAGCCTATTAAGTAACTCTAGTATTAGGGAAAGAGGGTATCGATTCTTGATAGTAATTTGGTTTAATTCCCGATATTAACATATATATGTAAGGACCTATCCTTTTTTTTAACAAAGAGAATTGGTGCCCTGCCAGGAACTTTGAATATTATATAAAGCCTTTTTCCAGGTTTTCCTCAATATAAAGCTTTAATGTTTTAAGTTTCTGGGTAGATAGCCCATAAATAGAACCCCAGGGGGTTGTTTACCTAGCAATAAATCGATAGCACAATCATATGGGTGATTATTTAGCTTTATTTTACTAAAAATATTGCTAAACTTTTAAAAAGCTTCAGATATAGTGGAAAACGAACCCAAGGTGCCAGAACTAAAAGCTATAGTTGTAAAAACCCTTACTACAAATAGCTGTTCTTCCTGAGTAGAGCTAGTTTTTTAGGACTGAGAGCTTCCAGTATATGTGTGGCAAGCTGGGTTATAGAAGATGATAGAGCATTCATGCTAGTTGATCATAAGGTTATACATAGATAACCAAGGCAAATACAAAATTATTTGATAATAAGAGGATGAGATAAGATTAAATATTAGTTCTTTATAATGGTCTTGGAAATGCACAATTATTGGGCTTGTTTTGTGAGTGATCTTTCCAGAAAAAATTTTCTGACCATCGATCACTTCTACTAATAATGAGGTCTCTTTCTCTTAAATAGGTATATTTCATTTTTGGGCAAATATAGTATTCATAAAACACGTAGTTGCTTTTGAGTCAATTAGAGCCTGAGCCATTATTTCTGGACTATCCAGTAAGTACAAACTTATCTCCAGAGTAATTGCGTTCTTTGAGGGGTTAGAAAATATTCTTTTTGGGAGTAGACTAATTTCTTTATTCAGCTGAGTCCCCCTGGGGCTGTTCTTTGCCCAACAATTCTTCTAGAACTACTATGGCATCGATCTTTGGTTGTGCATTGCCCTTGTTGAAACAGTTTTTAACAATGTGCCCTGGTTCTCCACAGTATAAGCAAAGTCTTTTTTCACGGCATCGTTTTTTCTCTTTATCAGTTAATGGTTTGTATCTCATAGTATCTATTTGTATAGATTCTGTGATAAATGTTTCTGAGTTAGAGGAGCCTTGGTATTGGTATCTTTCAGAAGTTGGATCTCTGAAGCATTCTTGTTTATATTATACAGCCTTCAAAACTGCATCATTTAATGTTGTAGGATCTTCTAAGGTGAGGAGTAAATCCTTTACATCATTTATAAGGCCTATTCTAAACTGATCGATTAAAGCTTCCTTGCCCTAGTTTAGATCTCCTGCGATTTGCCAGAATTCTGAAGCATAGCTTGAGGCTGGCCTTGAGCCCTAGATGAGTTTTCAGATTTTGTTTGCTGCTGTTCTGGATTTATCTGAATCTCCAAAAGTGGCTTCCTGAAATCCTCGAGTAATGGGGATTGTTGCTCTAATAGTGGAGTGAACCAAGTCAGTGCTGGGCTCATAAGTAGACTTCTGAGTAGTCCTACTTGAGATTGGTCATCTGGATAATGACTGGGTTGCATCCTTATAACCAGGCGAACTTGGTTCAGAAAACTCCTAAATTTAGCTCGTGTTCTGTTAAACTTGTCCAGAAGGCTGACTTTAGGTTCCTTATGACAGATTTCTGCACCTTCTTGAATACAAAACTGGTCAAGAGTATTTCTGAGATCTATATTTTCTTGGTGAAGTGCTTGAGTTTCTAACAGAAGTTGGTTTAAAGCTGTCAAAATAGCATTGAGGTGACAGCATCAGGGTATAGAATCGATTTTCCATTCATGTGAGTTCCGATATGTGATCTGCATCATGCATGCATGTCGACTCATACTGAATTAATAAAGACGTCCAAACAATAGATTTTCAATTTTATACTTATTAAATATCAGATTTTGAAGGCTCATGAGATATAACTAATATGATTATTATTATTTTATTTATAAATGAATCAATTCATATAAGAGAAAGTATTTTTTTTTAAAAAAATAACCTATTTTATAGCTTTATAAATCAACTTTAAATAGCTTAATAGTATAATTATACTCACAAAATATTAACCAAATTAAAAATATTAAAATAAAAATTTTCGAATTATAAAAAATAGGTTTGCAACTTACTTTGAAGCGAATTGTTATAATACTTTAATCTTATATATGTAACAAATAGTAGATTTTCAAATTCCTTATTTTTATCCTTTTATCTAAGATCATAAATAACCTATTTAAATTAATTGTATCTGCTGATTCTAATAGTAATCTTTAATAATTAAAATATTAGTGATTTGAGTAATTATTCGAATCAATATATATATATATATCGAAATAAGTAGATAGTAATAGGAAGATACCTTCTAATCGGCACAAATTGTATATTAGCCATATACAAAATGTTCAACTAACTATTGAAAATTCCAATCTGTATAAAGAATAACCCTTTGAATTAAGTGCGTGTATAGCTAATTAGAGGAAAGTCTTTCTATAATTTAATTAATAACAAACTTAGTGACATAATAAAGTATAAGCATAACAAATGTTGTAATTAGTTGAAAGTTTAATTGATGTAAAGAGAAAATGAATAAATAAGTGCTTTAACAAAATATCAATATAAAAAAAAAAAATCAAATACTTGCCCTTAAACATAAGCCAAATATTTTTATCTATATTTCATAATAAAGTTTTCTATTGCTTAATCAAATTATTTAGTAGCGCAATAACATTAGTAAAAACCAAACTGCTTGTAACATACTAAATACGATATTCTGTATCTCTTGTTCACATACACTATCCCATGAAAACTTTGTACTTGAGGATAAACTTTACAAAACATGCTCTGAATGCTTGATCACTAAGAGAACTATTAAAAGTGATAGCATCAATATTGAAAATACTTCTATAGAAAAAATTTCTTTTAAAGAAATTAGTGATTATATAACTGATAGCTTAGAGTATAATAATAAACTTCATATTAATTTTCATGTTATACATAAAGAAAAAATACTTAATATTGCTGATATGAATGTTAAACTAATGGCTAAATTGATTGTCAATGAAATTGAAGAGGCAGGTGGTTATAATTAGACATAAGTATAAGTTATTAAATAATAATAAATAAATAAATAAAACTTATATCTAATATATTCATTTGTAGCACTACAACAGCCCCAAATCTTTCAGCTTATTACTATAGTGTTGGTAATGCTTACTTTGTATGTTCACAAAGTAATGAGATTAAATATGAATATGTGGATTCGAATCGTAAAAGAATTGATTGGTTTGATTGTAAAAGCAAGCTAGCTATTTATGTGGACTTATTAGCAGTGAAAGCAAAAATAAATTTACAACACGATCTTATGCATGATAAGCATATTGATATTTCAATACCATTAGAGGTTAAACAAGAAATAAAAGAAAACTTGGAGATAACTCCAATATATTTGCGATTATATTTTTGCAAAAAATTTGATCTATTAAACATTACCTCAAAACAAATATATTACTAGTAGTTATATTACACTCAGCAATTCTATAAATCTGACGAGGACCATGTTGTTTCTGCTCATATGTTTTTTGAACAACATTAGGAAAGTGGTTGTGACTTGTGTTTTTAACTCAAAACAGAACATGTAATAGCCATTGGTTTTACTACACCTTTACTTGCCCTAACAAAAAATATATTGTGATGTTACATATAAAACAGCTAAAGGTTCAACTTCAAGATATTTTTTCAATTCCTGTATCTCCAAATCTTTATATACAAACCTCACAAATTCCTTCCATATTCTTAACTAACTCTGCATCCAACACTCTTAAACAACTTGCGAATTTCAACCACTATTCTACTGATATCACATTTTATACAGATAAATCTGTTGTTAACTCTAAAAACCTCCAATGCTCTATGGAAATTGGTTGGCTACAAGTAGACAACAACAATATTCTTCACACATTCTATACACAAATCTCACTATGGCCATGCTCTTTTAAGGCTGAATTGCTTGCAATTTTGTTTGCAATATGCATATCCTAGAAACTACAATATTCAAATCTTTATAAACTCTCAATTAGTTATATCTAAGTACAATAGTCTAACTTAGCAACCTATCAGTTCCTATTCCTCCAACATACCATACTGGCCTATATGGAATACACTTTTTAACTTTACCAAATCTTATAACTTAAATATCACTTTTCATAAAGTTAAAGCACACTAAAATAATACACTTAATAACAAAGCTGATAAGCTAGCTTGTGACTACCTTTATTTACCATTTCTTATATTTAATTCTTATAATATCTACAACCCCCTGTATACTCCATCACTTGAAGGCCACTCTCTTGAACTTCACATTCATCGCAGTATCCGAACTATATGCTATGCAAACACCTTTGCTCTCTGGTTATCTCAAAACCACTTTCAACCTTGGATATGGATCTCTCAGTATCTAAATTGGAATGCTACTTGGCTTTACCTAAACAACAATCAAAAAGTTTCTAACTTTGCTTATAGCTTCTAGTCTTCTACTCTTAAAATATTTAGAGTTAAACTTCTTACTAACAAACTTTCCGCACCTCATACTTTATATAAAAGAAACTCTCTCTACACTAACACCTGCCACATATATCAACAAACAAGTACTATGCTGCATTGGGCTATATGCCCCTCTCCCAACCTCTTATATATACTTATTCAAGATTATTTACAACAAATTTTATCTGCCCATAAACTTCAAATCTCTCTATCTGAAGTTAATCAACTACACAGCAAATTATCAACCTTGATAACCTTTTAATATATGATTCTCTTAACAAACTCTCTATTTTCTCTACACTTTCTGGTCTTGTTTCTTATAATATTATATATACAATACGTGAATTTACTACTTCTAACCAATTAGCTACCTCAATTTTTATACAACTTCTTTTCCATATCAACAAACAACTCTATTCAAATATCTGGATTCCTTATTGTAGCTCAAGACCTCAACCTCAACTTATACAACCTTAGTTATCATCTACACCCAAATTCTTACACAACACACCCCTCACATCTGATACTTCTACTATTCTTCAAACATCTTCTTTAAAAGTATCTTCCTGGTACTCTAACTGGATTAATTATCATATACACCTTCACATATTTTTAATCTAGCTCAAATCTAGATGAGCTTTGGCTACTCTGGTAGGTTTAGGCTGCAGATAAGTTACTGGGTATACTTAGTTTCTAGGTTCTCTTAGTTATATGTCTGAGTTCTTATTCTTAGCACTAGGCTTAAAACACAAAACCTTTTTCAATTATGTAAAAAGTTTTCATTAAGTTTAATAAAGATAAGAGCAAAATCTTACCTTAAATATTAAAAAAAATAAAAATAAAATAAAATGGCTAAAGGATGTTTCAAACTTTATAGACTTGTTGATAATATCAAGGGCACAGGATTTTCATTGGGTTACCTCATTTTAGATATGACGAAGGCCTCTAACAATAAAGCTCAGGAAGGATTGCAGACAAAAGCTCTTACAGGCTTTTTTATACTATTTGTAATAAAGGTCTGAATCCAACTTACTTTTATACTGACAAGAATTTTGCACAAATAAATACTGCAAAAAATGTATGGCCAAAGAGTGACGTACAACTGTGTTTGTAGCATCTTGAAGAAGCAATTAAAAAAAAACTTGGAAGTTGTAATTGAATTCAACATACAAATTATCAATATCAAGAAGTTGTAAAAGAATTTCCTTTTGTTGATTCCTCCTTTAAGTCTAATCTACAGCGTGAAGATAAAGAATACTACATTATTTGCCCACCTGATCTGTGAGAAACTGTTATAGATCTTATTCGAAAACATTTTAATATGCATTATAAAATCCCTATTAATATTGATAGAAAATTCTTATTAACTACAGAAATAAGAGCTGAATCAGTTTGTAAAATGTATGAATTTTGTATTGCAAATAGTCTTGTAATTCTTTGGTCATATTTGTAACCTGCCTAGTATAAAGCAACACAATGATATCTTTGGGCATACTTTACATGAAAAGATATACCACTTGGTAAAACAAATAATATGATTGAGGCTCATTGGAAAGTCTTAAAGCATTCTTATCTTTATCAATACAATCGCCCACGTCTTGACTATCTTCTTTGGATAATATCTTCTCGTGTTTTACCTGATCAAGTAAATAAACTTCAGCAATTGCAAATTGGCAGAATAACACCACTATGGTTTGACGATTTTAAAGCAAAATGGAGAAACTTACTTGCAAAACAAGTTAATGAAACTGAAGAATACTACTATATTGATTTAACATGCTGGATTTGCAGCTGCCCTTTGTTTTTTCACAGTCGCTTTTTTATCTGCAAACACTTAATCTATAAAGCCTCTAAATTTTTCACAAAATATTCGATTAATTTATACAAACTTTAAACAGCAAACAGACTATCCTTTTTTGATTTGAAGTAGAAATGAAGTTGTATTGGAAAACCTAGAAAGCTCAGAAATAAATAATCAAATTAGTACATTTGATCAAGATACCCATAAAAAAGAAAACACTAATGAAAAAGAAAACATTGAAAGACACGAAAAAGTGAAATTTAAAGTTACAAAGCTAAACTATTTAATCGATTATATAAATAAAGAATGGTCGGCAAATAATTTAAAATATATAGAAGCAATTGTTAATAATCTAGATTGCACCTTTACTATTCTTAAAGACATAGATAAAGTAAAAAATAAAAGGCAACGTAATACAACCTGGAGTAGCTTGAAGTCTTGGACCTTATATTTGTAACAAGTAAATATGTTATTATTGAACTTCGTGTAGTTAGATAAAAAAATTAGCAACATTTTCTAAGTTTCTTGTATTAAATAAATTGCTTGAACAGTCTGTACCTGAATAAAAGGCATTCTTCTTAGCTTGTATGCAAATTATACAAAGTAGGTTCATAAATAAACATGTTTTTTTTGATATATTGGTCTTTTTTTTGATATCTAAGAAGTAGCAGTAAGTATTGGATTTGAAGAGAATAAAAAATAAAGTTAGTGTAACATATTGCAGCTGGGGATCTGGGATCTTCAGAAGTCATATTTAGAAGTTACGTGAATGGAAAATCGATTCTGCGCCCTGTCTATTTCACATTGAGGTCAGGAATGGTGTTGATTTCAGGATGACATTAATCTTCTTTTTTTTTTTTTTTTTTTTTGTGTTTTTAAGTTTGTGTTTCTATATTATTGCAAGATTGGATTTTAGAATAAAGAGAAAAAAAATAAGCCAAAGTTGATTGGGGCTTTCTTTCTCTTTTAATACTAAAAAGGTGTATGTACTAAAAAGTAAAAGCAGGAACAAGGAGGTTAGTCTGTTTAAACTGTCACAAGCAGATTAAGAAGCAGATAAGTTTATTATTATTAAACAGACTAATTATTACAAGAAGATTTGTATTCTCTTTTATCTTTTTTCACGGCTATTACTAAGCTACACTAATGACTATATAATTCATGTGCTCTTTTCACAGCTATTACTAAGCTATACTAATGACTATATAATTCATATACTTGAGCAATTTGACTATTATTGTTATTGTTAATAACTACATAACTTATATGCTTTAGTAATTTAACTATTACTAATTTATAACTACATTCTTCATACATTGGAGCAGAGATACTTGAGTCCTATGCTTAAGCTTTGGGCTTAGATTACAGGATCACGTCGGGTTTAAGTCACAAGCTAGGGTTATGGGCTTGGCCGTTACAAATAGCAAGATATTTGTCAAATTCTGAATAATTATAAAATTCACTATTTTGCTATCGAATTGAAAAAAAAAGTTTTTCATTGCTGATTTTTTCCTTTGCTTGTACAGCTTGTAGTAAACTGGTTTTGTTATATTTTACTTGGTTTATTCATTCACTTAACTTATTAAACTGATTTCATAACTCCTTAATTGTTTCTTCTCTCAATTCCTAATTATAAAATAGTTTAAATTATAAAAAGTATGTAAATTTTTTTATTTATTTATTTAATATAAATATTGAATACTTATATAAGAACAAAATGATAGATTCATAATCTAGAATCAAGTAAAA